TTGGTCATCTAATCTGAATCTAATCAGAAGTCACATTAATGTTACTTTAAGTTGAATTACGTGTATAACTGAAACATTGCAATTTTTTTTTCAATGTAAATAAAGAGTTTTAAGTTGATAGTATTTAGTATTATTATTTTCCCAATAATCACGATGTCAAAATTATTTGACGGCACGTCTACGACCTCATTAAGCAATTTTTTAGAAAAAATGGCACGTTGGTGTATAAAGGTTCGCCACCCCTGCCCTAGATGAATAAGTATCATTTCTCCATTAATTTTGTTTTTTAATACATAGCTTAATTTTTTATTTGAATTAGTACCTAGTACTAAAATTAATTGAGCAGCACCGACCTTACAAATGAAATGGCGATACCTTTTCTCCCATAGTTTTACTTTTTTGTGCAACGGAGATTGAAATTAAAAATGCAAAAAATGAATTACTTATTAAAATGCAAAATTAATAAATTACGCTATTATTCCCTTAATTAATTACCATTGTTCCATTAATTTTGCTTAACTTTATTTATTTATTTTTTATTTCAATTACCATTGAAAAGAAAATTAATGTAGAGATGTGATATTCGTTTAAAAAAAACGTTAAAAAATTTACCATACTCTCGTTGAAGCCAATGATGCTTTATCAATTTTAGCAATGGTATTAATTGAAATTTAAAAAAACATTCAAGCATGTACATAATGAGGGATGCTTGATCCTAATATGCGTTTCATCTAGGATTTGGCCCCATTGACGAAATTTGGGAGGGGAAAAAATTTACAATCTGTAGTTGTATATTCGGCGAGATTCAGTGATTATTTTGCATTATCATTTTGGAATTAGTGTGGAACAGTTTGGAAACAGTTTGGCGACAAGCTTCAACGCATCATTTTTGTGTTGGCGACATTCTTCAAAATCGCACGAAGTAGAGCAGAAAATTTAAATTTTCAGTTAGTTGCCAGTAGACTTTAATAATTTAAGTAGCCACTTTATTTCACAAGCCTAATGAGTCGGTGACCGATATCGATAGGTTCTTTTAATTTAATAGCCACTTTCCGCAAACTTTTTTTTGCTTGGATTAAATTATGTTTTTTTGAAAATTTCATATCAGAAATAATCTACGGCTATAAAAAGTTAATTCAACAATGAAAATATATAAATATAAGACAAAATTTAGTTAAACATACTGATTTTAAGGAACTTTATTAAAAAATGTTTGAGGAGACAAAATACATTTAATGTATGCATTACAACTTTGAAATATGTAATATAGTTAAAGAGGCAGATGAATCTTTTCAACAAAAATTGATGGATTGGGTATAATATGAAAAAAACACTACTACTTCTACTTCGAAAATTTTACTAGAAATAACATTTACCTTTTAGTTTAATTAATAAGCTGAGTTTTAAATATGTTTACTAAATTCATAAACTTAGATAAAAAGACAAAATAAATTATTTCAAAAGGAACTAGATTAATACAAATCCAACCTGCCGAGTAACGACTTATAACAACACATTTCATTTAATGTTTACTTGTTGCTAGAAATCAGGATCGCAGAAAATGCTGTTTACAAGTTAAATTTACTAGGAATAACAGGACCTGTGACGTAGGCTATAGTATACCCAATTGGGTATACTATAGCCTACGTCACAGGTTGTGTTATTCCTACTAAATTTAACCCATGAACGGCATTTTCTGCGAGCCTAACTTCAAGCCACAAATAAACAAACGAAGTGTTTGATCGTTTAAATAGCTGCTCGCCAGATTTTATTGCATTATAAAGAAAAGTAATTGATATTCGATTTTTGATTAATAATTGATTTATGTGGATAGTGGCATTTATGTGGATAATGGCATAGAATTTAGCATTGCGTCATGGTAAATGTTATTCCTACTAAGTGAAAGTAGTTGTGTTTTTGTTATATTATACCCAATTGTGAAGGATCAAAATTTTGAATGAAAACATTCGACATTTTAATAAAAAATTCTATTTTCCTGTGTCTTTCTGCATTTATAAAATTTTATCATTAAATTATTTTCAAAAATTAAAAAAAAGTGATAGAAAAAAGTGACTGGTTGATTATCTATTATATATAATTCTCTTACGTAGCTCCCAAATTTTGGCTGTATTTCTTTTCCGCCGGTGGCAACGTTTGCTTTGTTTTGAAAACACCAAAGCATTCTGCCTTTTAATGATGTGTTTCTGATCTAATATATATAATTCTCTTACGTGGCTCCCAAATTTTGGCTGAAGTACTTTGTACAACTAAATAAGATTCTTTTCACAACAGTTAAATATTTACTTTATTTTCTTCATTCATAGAGAAAACAGTCGGCAAAGAATTCTGTTAGGTTAAAAAACATTTCGCTAAAAAAATAACGAATTCTAAAAGAAATAAAAATAAACAACTTAAAAAATAAAAATGCTGTTGCCAGCCATAGAATTTTTTGAAAGTTAACTTAGCAACATAAATCAAAATGACATAGAAGCGCAACTAGATCAAAATTATGATACCTGAGCGCTTGACGTAACAAATCCTTCAATTCTAAAAGTGTTGTATCGCCAAATGCCCAAATTAACAATTGTGTTCTTAAAGAAATTCTATAAAAAGTTTTAAATAAACAACCTACTTCTACAACTGCTTCTTGAAGAACTTGGCTCATTGATTAAAAATATTGTTTTAATTTTACAGTACTAACTTTACTTCTACTTACATTATTGCTATGACCCTCTTTCATTACATTTTACAACTTCATGCTAAATTTGAGGACTTTAAGTTGTTTTGTGGTTGGCGAGCGACAGCGAGCAGGGGGCGAAGCCTCCTAGTTTAATTCAAATCCCCTCTTTTTTTGTGGATACGCCACGTAGCGAATGATTATTTTCAGGTCTAGCACCAAGCGTGTAACGTATGCTACAGGGTGCGTGGCGTTTTTAAAAAGTGCTTAAAGGTGCTTATTTTTGACTTTCGTTTTTTAAAAGCCTTTAAAGGTGCTTTTTCCATTGAGTGTTTTTAAAAAATGCTTAATTTTCCCTTTTTTCAAAATGAGATTTTTCCTTTACAATGCCAATTTTCGCTTCGAATTATGCAAAAAGACCCAGTTCACATTGTTTTATTCAGCGTTTTCACAATTAATTCAAACCCAATCTATTTCGGCGTATTGTCAGTCCGTAGCGTATTCTAAAATGATAAGTTCCTT